GAATTCTTTCATGCTATTAGATCATGGCTAGTGACAATGAAAGTATCAAACCAGCCAAGAACAAAAGCAGATTATTCATTTTCTTTGAATACAATATAAAACAGAACCAGAACATTAGCATAAAAGCAACCATAAAAGTTCATCATTTAATTGTTTATACAACACACCTTGGGACTGCGACCAGTGGTATCCCAGAGGTGGATAGACCCATCATCACCAGCTGTAACCAAAAGGTGCCTGCTTATCCTAGAATAATCAAGCACTCTCAGAACCTGGTTTTGAAATTATCAAAGAGAATCTACAAAATTAGAAAATAAAAGTACATGCATGCAAGGATCCAAAGTGTATATTTAACTTTCACCAGCTTCATAGTAAATTACGACTTGAATCAGAGAATAACCTGTTCATTTGGATCCTTTAGTTCAGCAGCCTTTGCACCAGAAGCAAGATTGTGAAGCATAAGATCACCATTAAGACTTATAGAAGCTAAGTGCTCATCTTTACAGTTGTAGATTACACCAGTTATGGTATCAGAATGACCTTTCAACCATTTGATGCAACGTTTGCGCTGCAAATCCCATATTCTAACAACTTGACCACTGCCTCCAGAACAAATATATCTAGAAGCTTTATTGCTAAAATTTATGGTGGATATGCTCTCCTGCGACATAGAATGACAAATTGAAAATTTTCAAAAACCTTTGGAATAACAAATAGAAATAATCTCAAGCCAGAGTATCCTCTGCATTTTTGTTAACTAAGAGAGGCAGCATCACTTGTCCAGTATATAGTATAATTCATCCATCACTACTATGATCAACAGAAAGGGAAAATTTCTCATACAACACAGTACTGCCAATCCTGCACTACCACAAAATTTCGCAACACCAGGGAGCTTCCATTGCTACGAATATCTTGCCAGAGCTTAGAGTTACAGGGAACAATAGTTAGCTTTTAGTGAACTACAGTAGAACTCTTTACCATTACATTCATCAGTCTCATATATTTTGATTGGAAACGTAACTTTAATCTTCAAAAGGGCACGGCACAGGTTTCTAGAACAAGATCCTCAGAATGATAATTTAATAAATTCAACAAACTGAATCTCAGATTTTAGAAATGAACGTGATATCCAATTACAGATGGCTGCCCCTCTCCAGATAGAACGAAAAAGGGGCAGAATCATTGAAGGGGAAATTCCATTGAAAATTACCACCAAAGAGATACTAAACCCAGAAAGCTTTTCCCTTAACCGCTAAATCTAACCCCAAGGGAAACTGCCAAAAAAAAAAAAGGAGCAAAGAGAATTAAAATGTACCTCAATATTGTCGCCACTATCGGTACCTGCCAGTGGAATAGTCCCCAAGTTCTGCCCATTTTTTCTATACAGAGAAATTTTCTTATCATCTCCAGCACTGGCCACCACCAAATCTACCAAGAGATATCCAATTTCAATCAGTCCCGTCATTTTAAATGGTGAAAAAAAGCTCACAATAATGAAATCCCAGGAAAAATGTGCGAAAAGTAACGAGTCCAGTACTAGTACTACTCACTGGTGTGGTTCCACTTGATAGAGTTGACCTGGAAGCCTGGAGAAGGAGCATAGCTGAGAATGCAGGGATCTCGAGGCTCCACCGAGACGTCAAAGAGCTTGACGGTGTCTCCGCCGCTGGCGGCCAAGAGAATTTTTATTGAATCCGTCGTATTCATGAGGCGTTTAGCGCTTGTCCTCTTCTGGTGGTTCAGACAGATAAAAGCAAATTTCTTACTTACTTCATGGGGCGGATAATTCGAAAAATGGAACTTCAGAAAATTTATTTGAGAAGGGAAAAAAGAGGAGGAAGTGGTGGTGGGAAGGGTGGAGAGTGGGTGGGGATGATCATTTCAGTTTGCTGCTTTTGGCAATTTGATTTTGAAACCCTACTGAGAAGAGAGAGAGAGAGAGAGAGAGAGAGAGAGAGAGAGATGGAAATTCAAAAAAGTTTGGGCCAACAAAGTGGGCGTTCTCGCAAGTAAAGTCGTTTAAATGCCAAATGGTTAAGAAAATTAACAGACGAAGAAGAAATCGGTATGTGAGAGCATTATTCTAAATAATTTTTTGAAATAATTACTGTAACACTTTTTATAATGTGATGTATCAGAGATAAAAAAAGTGTATTGAAAAACGTGTTAATAATGTAAACGAACAATTTTTTTGAAAAAATTTGCTATCCAAACTTAGCCGATATTTTCTTGTCTCTTCCTAGATATCTGAGCGTCGGTCCTTTTTATTTTTTTCTTTCGAAACGATAACCTATTCTATCCTGAACAACAGGGGAAGGTGTCAGTCTTTTTTTTTTTAGACAATAATTATTATATAACCTATTCAATTCTAGACTAGAAAAAAGGAAGAGTCTAAAAAAATTTATGTTAGGAACTAGAGGCACACAGATCATACTAAATCAAAAGAATATTTTGGTACCACCAGTATTTTGACACCACATTTAAATTTTTTTCACTGTAGATAAAATTTGAACTCCTACCTACCTACGGCCCAACGAAGAACTTAAGTCCCAACTTCATTATCTGAGCGGTCGGTCATATTCAACTCTTACCCTTTTAAGCATTTGACATCCCAAAATTTTAATAGTACTAGTACTTTAAACATATCTACTATATCCATGCCTTAGACATTTATATTTATATTTATGGGGTACTCCTATTTTAAGAGCTCATACGGCATAGTTTTTTCTTCATCATTTGTTACTTATTTACTTTACTTTCGACGGCAATTAATATTATGCACTTATATGAATTTAAAAAATATATTGTGACAAATAGCAGAAGACAAGGATATGAATTTAAAGAGTACATTGTGACATATAATGGGAGAAAATGTTTGAATCTCCTTCACCTCCCGTTCCATCAAAACTTAAAATTTTTAGTAATGACCAGCAGCGCAAATGGTAGTTGGTCACTCAAATCGCATAGTTGGTCACTTTTGCATTTCTTCAGTATTGCTCGTGCATTAAAGGAACGGGGCGGGGTCTCTACTCACTCAAGAAAGAGAATAAGAAGAATTGGAAAAACAAATGCATAGAAAAGTGGCAGCTGGCAGCTTTAGGCTTCGTCTGGGAGTTGAGGATTTGGACAGAAAAGAAAGGGAAAGAAGAGAAAGTTTAGTTTTCTTTGTTTGTTAGATTTTAGTAAGAAAGAAAAGAAAAAAAAAATGGAAGGCTTTAACAGAATGAATAATAGTTAAAACTTTTCCTCCCAAATTGGACGGAAATGGAAAGAAATTTTGAGGAAACTTGTTAAATTTTTTTCAAAATGCCTATTTTGTCCTTAAAATGATTTTGAACAAATATTTAATGACTTTCACATCCAAAATCATTTCACTAATTCTCAAACTCTCAAATAACATAACTGTTCCTTTTGTTTTCTTCTCTTCTCTCGTAACTTAAGTTTTTCCTTCTCTTCTTTTCTATCCTAAACTCCCAAACTAAGCCTTATGCTTTAAATGCTAATCCAATCATTATGCTAGTTGGAATACTTTTTTTTTTCAAAAGATTTATACATTTTTTAATCATTTTTTCATATCACATATATTAAATCGATATAATACAAAAATTTTTTTATAACAACTCTAAAAAATAACAATTCAAACAAGGACACATGTGTCACTCCTTATAACTTTTTTACTCATTCGCCTTAGTGACAACTCCATTAAAAAAGGCATTGATGTAAATTCAATCAAGATTAGAAGATTTTTTTTTTAACCTTTTACATAAGGGATAATTGTAGAAACTTCCCCTGAAATTTCTGACTATTTCGCTAGTCTCTCTTTAAGATTCAAAAATTACACTAGCATTTTTTGAGATTAATTATCTTATAACATTTAGTTCCAATCAGTAATTAAAAAGTGATATTAGAAGAGAAAAAATAATATGATTTCATCATTGCCCTTCATCTGCTTACATTATTTAGTTATTTTAATACCAATCTACACATTAAAGAAAAATAATAAAACTTGTTGTTTATCACTAGGGATCACATCACATATAACATTAAAACAAATAGTATATCATTTTATATTTTTCACTCAATGCAAGATCCAAATTATTATTTTCAGTTACATATCAAATATCAAACATGATCAACAATAAATAATGAAAATTTTGCAACAAAAATATTACAAAAAACCAACTTTAACATCATAAATATTCTTGTCAACATATTAAAATTAGTTACTAAAATTTTTATGGTATTAAAGTTAGCTTTTTGTAATGTTTGGGTTATAGATTTTTTTAATTATCTGCTGTTGATCATGTTTAATAATGAATTCGTAATTGAAAAAAGTAATTTGAATCTTATATTAAATAACATATATAAAATGATATATTATTTTTTGATAGCATATGTGATTTGATCCTTAATAATAAATAACACATTTTAATACTTTCTTCAATGTTTATCCTAGTATTAGATTACTTAAATAATATGGTAGATGACAAATACTGATGGAATCATATTATTTTCTTTCTCCTAATATTACTTTTTAATTATTTATTGGACCTAAATGTTATAAGGTAATAAATCTCAATTAGTATAATTTTCAAAATTAGAGGAAGGCCAGTGAAATAATTAGAAATCTGTCCTGAGGTTTCTAAAATTATCCCTTTACATAATTCACGTCATAGGGTCAAAGTCATGTTACCTTAGACAAATAGATATTTAAACCTAGCATGCTTTCTTGCAAGTCCAACTAAATACTTTAACATTATAGGAGAGTAACCTACGGGTTCGTAAGAATTAAAACATCAATCACCAGCATTGGTGGTTTAACTCTGTGTTTCCCAGACTAAAATGAATTTTGAAACTTTGTTCCGACTTCCGACCGCCTAGTATTTTCTCTTTGCAAAACTACACTTGACCTCTTAAATGTCAGCTGCCCATTATCAGAAGTTGACCCAATTAACAGGCAACCGGGCCGCCCCCACAAGAATCTTGGCCATCTCAGAGGCCAACAACTTCGAATATTAAAGTTTGCCCGGTTACAAACCAGAACAAGGTACCACTTGATAGATTACACACGAATCAACTGTCAGAAAATCCCAGCCTGGTTGGATTCTGGCACAAGATGCCAGCTTTCACATCCAATTCCAATGATTTGAATTCAAGAACATAGTAATTCAGAAGTGAACTATATATACATGAACCAGACTCTCAGGTGAAAAGGTGAAAGCTACTGAGAGAAGCTATGCAACTATATGCCACTACAAACCGCATTCCTCCCCGAAACCGAAGTTGTGAATCTTCAGCCAACATTTAAGCACACGCTAAACAACTTGGAGGAAAGAGGCCTTGGCGTACAGTTTCTGGCTCTTGGTAAGAGGTCTCCAAAGCCATGCCTAGAACTCTTCGACTCTAAACGTTAAATACCTTCAAGATAGAAAATTGTCAATTGCACAAATTCGGCAGTTTTGGTGATGAACCATTTGATGCTTGCAGTTTTGAATAAATTAGGTTCTGAGATTGATTCAGAAGAAAAGCCAGACAAAGATTCAGAAAGGATGATAGGTTAAATGAGTAGAGACAGCTATTTCATCATGAGATTTAACGACATTCATCGGCTACCATCACATTTTCAGACCATGTATAACCATGTTCTAGGCTCCAAAGTTAAGCAAATCAGTAGAAAAACCACACACGCGCATGCACGCGCACATGCACAAGCATATATTATATATAAGAGACTAGACAGAAAGCCCAAATTTGTCATCTTATTGTCAGCCTGGTTTTTTTTTTTTTAGGTATTCACATGATATATTCTACATATGTCACAAGGATGCCAACAAACATATCCTCAGCGCAAACTTGGCAATCTCTTATTAGTATTATTCAGAGATAACCCAGAATTACCCTACTGCATAACCGCCGAGGCAAGACCATAACTTTAGATGCTAGACCAGCATCATTACTTCAACCGACAATCTTGGCGTCACATCTACAGTTGTGATGCATGTACAGCTTGGAAGAGAACTAAAATGAATACCTGTAACTGAAAGTGCAGATAATTTGTTAAAACTCGGTTGATGCTCATTAAGTGTGGCATGTTTATCAACCTCTAGTGGCCATTTGACACCTTGTTGGTTGCATTAAGTGGCAACACATCTAGTCCATATTTGAGCTCAATATGAACTTCTACCGTATCCTAGAGTAGTTCTAAACCAAGAAGTTGAAGAGCTTCATATGGGATCAGTTCTCCTCTAAAGCAAAGCATATCTTCATATCCTCTGAGGTAATCAACCAAAATATAAATCTATTTATGGGCATAACTCACCAACGAAGAATAGCAGCAGATCAACCTTTCATCTATTACAGGTTCAACATAAAAACACTACTGATTTCCATCATTCATCATGCCTAAACCTCTTCATTATCCGTAAATCGTTTCACGATGACCAGTAATCATTCTTCATTCCACTTCATCCTACTCGATATATATGTATTATCCCACCAGTTATCCATTTTGAAGAAGTAAACCTTCATGAAATACAGACATAAAGGGTTATTGAGGCATTCTCATAGCATAAAATGATATCCTTGCTCCCAAGGTTGAGGTGCATAAGTTCAACGAAATGAAGATTTCAGGGAAATGTATCGGCATTTAAGACCTCTATAGGGATCGCTTTTAGGACTTTGTATGACTATTGGTTCCACCATTCAACTACTAGTTTGTATGGTTTAATAGGAGAATAGTTTGTCAATCATACACAAACAGCTCTATTTGACAGGTAACTTTATGTAAACCAGAGTACCAGGAAATTGCTAAGACTATATGAAAAGTTTCCTTTTCTGGGAAGTCCAATTACAAGCTTATGAACTTGACAGTTTTCAGTTTTCACCCATTTTGAGATAGGCCATCACGTGGGCTTTTCAAAAATATTAAGAGATTCTATCTATGTTATATTGTGTAATCATGATACTATCAATTGGTTGTAATCAGCCTCTACACCAGCCAGTATGAGTTAATTTAGCCAGAAAATTAAAAAGTGAAAGTAAAATAACAATGTTAAAATAGTTGTAATACCAATATTGCCCTTCTTTTAAACTGTTTCTTTGGGAGATCAGTATTTTACTGTCTGGGGGAAAAAAAAAACTAATTGCATTCTGTGACAGGCCCAGGGAGGGTTCTTTTCAGCATATTGCAACAGATTACAGTATCACACATTATAAGGCCACTAAGGAAAATTTCTTTTTTCCATTTTTGGGTTGTGGATGAGGCGTGGGAATTGGCGTCAGGTGAAAGTGCCCTTTGGGTTTTGGTGGGGTGGGGAGGGGGGAAGGCAATGAAATCAGTCCTAAAATAAGATGCTAATATACAGGAAGATGAACTATTTTTTCCCCAAAGTAGCCTTGTTCAGCGGCTGACTGTCGCTCATCATAATTTTAACTAACCAGTGACCCTTTACTCGAGCAGATTGTGTGTGTGGAAAAGAGATCGAACCCAAGATAATTGCATTAATCTTGGGATTTATAGTAAAACGGAGTAACACAGAGTCTGACAAAATCAGTTAACTTAATTGTTTACCACAAAAATATTACTCAAGAAAAGGGCAGTAAACCTGCTGATATTAGATCATTACTTCCTAACAAAATTTTACAGCATAGCTTGGCTGAAATTGTAAAACCTAATTTCATGATACATTTTAAGGCATCAAAGGACAAACTTTGTGGACAAAATAACCAAACACGGATGCTAAAACACCCCAAAACCATCACAACACCAAATGCACGGGCAAGGGGACTAAATAAAACTGAGGCAAAATATTCAAGTCACCAATTCAACCAAAATGGAAGCTAATGCAATATGATTTCCAAGAAAAACAGAAATAGCTTCATGTCACCTTGGATTTTAGGAGAAGTAGTCAACCAATCACATTTTTGTAGACGTCATAAATTTATTCTTTTTCTCTGCTGGCTTAAGGATTTGGAATGAGCACATCAAGTTCTCATCAACACTCATCATTGCACCAGCATTATCAAATTCCCCACAGTAGTTGGGGGCTGAAAAAATGGTAACGAGCTGCCTGTCAGCAAAAAATTCATAACCATCCTCCACAACCTGCAACAGTGAATGGCTCCGGTAACTATCAACCAAGTTGATTATGAAAAAAACGCAGAAGAAATCTTTTACCTGATGGGCACGACAAACAAGATCCAAATCATGCTTTGTCAAAAACTCTGACACTTTATCCGGCCCAAAGGTGTATGAGACTCCTCTATCATTCATTCCCCATCCCTTGACATCTTTACCAGGATCCGACCAAAGTAAATCACAAAGCAAACCAGTATCTGGGATTGGAGTTGGCCGCGGTAAGTTCCTAATCTGGTCCAGATTGGTAAGATCAGGAGAGAGTCCCCCATGCATGCACAATATTTTGTCATCAATTAGTGCGGCAACAGGCAGCCAATTAAAACACTCTGTAAAGGCTTTCCACAGTCTTACATTGAACCGACGCTTACATTCATCATAAAACCCATATATCCTATTAATAGAAGCACATTCATGATTTCCTCTTAGAAGGAAAAAATTTTCTGGATATTTGATTTTGTAGGCCAACAAAAGGCATATTGTTTCCAAGCTTTGCTTGCCACGATCTACATAGTCACCTAAAAATAGATAATTAGCCTTAGGAGGAAAGCCCCCATATTCAAATAGCCTTAACAGATCGCTGTACTGTCCATGAATGTCACCTGAAACCAGAAAGGAAAAATGTACAGATTAGGCAATAGACCATCATGTTGCAGTGGAAGGAAGATTCCCAGTGAGTAGTTTCAGATATACCGAAAGTCGTATCCAACTTAATCTCTAATAGTGTCAGAATTAGTAAAAATAATAGTTTTTTTTAATTGTTTATGAGTCAATTTGATACACTGACATGCAATGGAGTTAATATACTAAAAACAAATAGAGATGCATTTCATATTGCAACATCCACTGGAACAAGCATGGTCAAAATGGATCTACATTGACTCACGCAATACACTGAATTTCAAAGAATCTTATACAACCAATAGCTAATGAGCCAATGCAAGCAAACCATTCTTAAGCATGTGTACCCCATTAATCAATACATGGAGACCTCAAATCTCAAAGGATAAAGGTGATAACTTCACCATAATAATTCCAGCCAGCCAACAGCAAATAAACAAGGACAAAGTATATCCAGCAGCAAGTTAACTATCTGATCCTCATTATACGTGGAAGATTTGCCATTCAGTCATGCCTCACCAGTGCGCATATGTATTGGTACACATTGTTAGGAACATGTAGGACGCCAACCAGATGACAAGATTGAAATGAACCCAACCAAAACAAAGCATGTTACTGTCAGACGCTTACTACCACATTTACACATTCTAGAGTCTTTAAGCTATCTACAGATAGAAGACATAATCGCTCTTGTTTTTCTGTGAAGCATGTACTCGGATATGATGATTCTGGCATTTCTCACATCCCATAAGTTTTCTCAACAAGAAGGGGACAACAGATATCTGAGGTATATATGATATGCTGTTCAATGTATCTGTACAGTAATTGATTGCAAAAGATTTCTCTACCAAACGCTGAGGGGTTGTCCCACTCTTGCTAGATAAAGAACACCATGTGAATTACTTTGGTCGTAACTTTTTTCATAAGGAGATCATCTCTCATTATTCTTACATGTTAATGTTTTTTTACTGCAAAAAAAAAATAATACTAATCTTTTAGCCTATTGGTTGATTATTTGCTCCATCCCGGATACACATACATTTGCACATGCTTTTTAAAAGCTAAAACTTATCTTCAAATTCCATGATTGTAAGCTTATAGTAGCCTTTCACAGCAGCTTTCATTTATCTATGACAAGCAAGACATCAAATGCAAAGATTCCAGAACCCAGGAAGACAAATACTTGCAAGCAGTTTCAGAAAAATGAATAATGCCAAAAATTTGAGGAAACTACAATTACTAAGAAATAAAAGAAGGATTAAAAAGTAGGCGAATTGCTCACCCCTGAGAGCCAATCAGACGATTAACCCTCATAAAAGCACAAACCAACATTTAAAACAAGATAGAGAGCAAAAACTAGAATTTAAAATGAATAACCAAAAATGAAAAGAATCACTTATATTCCACGAGAAAAGAGTAAAACTGATAAATAATAGGCCAAAGAAAGACACCATAAAACAGATTAGAAATGGAAACCACCAAAGACACGAACCTCTTTTTTTTTTTTCTTTTTTTTTTGGGGGGGGGGGGGGGGCGAACTTCAGTGTTGTATAATCCCACATTAACATGCACATTCGTGAGGAATGCATTTATCACATAAGATCAAATCAATACAGCAACAGATGTATGGCAAAGAAGAGAGAGGAAGATGAAATTTATTCATTACCGCAAATCTTGATGGGGGCTTCAAGTTCAAGAAGATTAGGCTGTTCCTTGAAAATATCACGGGAGACAGTACAAAGCTGCTTGATTTCCGACTCGGAGAGCTGCACCAACTTCCCTGGCTTTGAGGATCGGACTTCTATTAATCTCTCTATTATCTTATCCAGTACTGCTGCCTCCATTTCTGCCAGCACCAAGTTCTTTTCTTTTTTTTTTTTTCCAGTTAGAAAGTAGTTCCTTCTTTCCCTGCTTCTCTTGTGCTCCGACCAACAGTAGTCTGAAGATAGATCAGTCTTTTTATGGGTCTTCTTTTTAAAGTTTGAAATTTCTCCTGTGGCTTTGAATTCTTGATTTATTTGTTTATAGTTATTTTTTGGGGTTCTACTCAGTCAGGGTCCAAATGGAGGTCTTTTAGTTCAAGACTTCAAGTGAGAGACTGATGGGTGATGACGTCAGTGAGATGCTAATAAAATTGGTTTTGTGAGTTTTTTTTTATTTTGGAAAAGAAAATACTACACCACAAAGAAATTGCTTCCTTCTTTTGTTTTCTTTTTCTTTTTTCTTTTTGGAGTTAACACGCTACTACTAGCATTTGATTTTTTCTGGGTTGTACTTTGTCTTCGAAAGGCATCAGGAGGAGTGGAGACTGGAGAGGAAAGAGACTGGGGAGTCTGGTCGGTGTCGTGTCCCCTCCATTATACTACTGTTTACCTTTTTGACGTTTTCTTTCTTTCTTTCTTTCTTTCTTTCACTTGTGGGGCATAGTTACTTCCTATAGGAACAAGGCACGACGTCGTTGGTGTGGGAAATTCAGACCCTATTTGAAATCTGAGTTTTTTGAAGTTTGTCTAAAACTTTATTGTAGTGTATTGTAAAACTTTTTGAAAAAATTTTTTAAGATGAAAAACTTATTTTTTTTCTTTTTCTTTTTTTTTCTTTCTCTTTCTTTTTCTTTCTTTCCTTTTTCTTTTTTTCCTCTCTTCATTTTCTTCCTCTTCCTTCCCCCTGCCCCTTCCCTCCCCCGTTACCTCTGCGACTCTGCCTCCCCAACAGCCATGGTCCTACCATTTTTTTTCTTTTCTTTCTTTTTCTCTTTCTTTTTCTTTTCCTTTCTTTCCTTTTTTTTTCTTTCCTTTCTTCTTCTTCTTTTTCTTCCTTCCCCCTCCCTCTTCCTTCCCCCCACCACCTCTGCCCGTGGTCCCAAATTTTTTTTCTTCTCCTCTTCTCCTTCTCTGCTCCCCTCTTCCCCTCTACTCTCCTTCACCATCCTCCTCTCCCTCCCGAAGCCAAAGAACCAGCATTGATCGATACCTTGCAAGGGGCTGGTATTGGCCCCAGTGACAACCAACAATCCAGAGGTAAGTTGCTTCAAGAAAACCACTCTTTTGCCCTTAAACCTTCCAGCCAATATTATCAACATTGTACCAGGGGTAATACTTGCCTTGAGCTTGATGGGTTTTGGCTTGCGCTTGTTGGCCAGTGGCTTCTTCACGTCATCAGCTGGATAGAATTTGGCTGGCTTCTCGGCAGCGGGTTTTACCTCTTATGGGGCCTTTTTGGGGTGAGTGGGGAAAGCGCCGCCGTGCTTGGCCTTAATAGCCCATAAACCCCGCGTGTGGTACATTTTGGAACGGGAATATTTTCCGACGCCCCTGATCAGATCAAGGTTTCGGCTCACCTTCTTCGTCTTCGTCTTCGTCTTTTTTTTTTTTTGCTTTTTCTCTCCCCCTCTTCTCCATCTCCCTCACCCCCTCTCTTCCCCTTCTCCTTCCCTTTGCCCAATCTAGTAGTGTGAGTGACTGCGATCTGGTTGCCAGGAATGGGAGGGGAAGAATAGGGGGAGAGGGGAGGGAAAGAGAGAGGGAGAGAGAGAGAGGAAAAAAAAAGGAAGATCGGCGCCTGAGGATGGTCGTTTCGGCCCGGATAGTTCGGGACCTCACCCTGGGATACTTCCAGAAGTGCCGCCTCGGCTCACTATTTAACGAGGTGATTTCGACCCCATTCACCACCTCGGCTAGTATCTTCGGGTCATTAGCCGAGGTGACACCTGGGTGTCTGACAACTGTAAAGGGTGGGATGTGACACCTGACATCTGACTCCCGATAGAAAACTGCTCTGACACATTTGAATTTGGCAACACTCCCGACGTGTCTTTTCACAGGGACCAGTCAAATCAGCTTGATACACTGACTATCTCAGATATCTAGGGACCTGTGCTGGCAATCCCTCTTTCCTATCAGTCCCCTATAAATACCGAACGTTTCTACTAAAAAGGAGGATGACCAACTTCGGGTAACACGATATATTAATTCTCTCAATTGCTATATTACTTCTTCAATACTGAATTAACTAAAATTTCGGAGTTATACCGGGGGATTTAGCCTCTCTTGCGAGATAAGCAGGTGGCCTCGTCACAGTGATCCATCTAGAATAGAGCATTTCTTCAGTTCGGGAGGTCCACTCCAGAAGGACAGAAAACACCTCTTCAATTGGCGCCTTCTGTGGGAAGCGAGAAGACATCAGAATATGAAGGCTACGCGTTCTAGAAGCAGGAAAACTCTCGCTATTGGGGCTGAGCAAAGTAATGTAGCTCAGCAGGAAGGGTTATGAGGTCTGGTGGACTTACTACTACCTGTTGCCCAAAGTCGACACTCTGGTGGACTCGGCGATGGGTTATGAGATCCTTTGTTTTCTTGATGCCTTTAAAGGGTATCACCAGATCGGAATGAGTCAGGAAAACCAAGAGAAGACGGCCTTCTACACCGACCAAGGCACATACTGCTACACCACCATGCCCTTTGGGTTGAAGAATGCCGGAGCCACATATCAGCGCCGGTTAACCAAGTCTTCAAGTTTCAGATTGGCCGAAATGTCGAAACCTACGTAGATGACATCCTTCTCAAAAGCCAGCTGACCTCTACCTTCCTGTCCGACTTGAAAGAGGTCATTGATGTTTTCCGGAAAACTTGAATGATGTTAAACCCCAAGAAGTATATTTTTGGGGTCACTTCGGAAAAATTTTTGGGGTACCTCGTCTCAAGGCGAGGTATAGAAGCAAATCCGGATAAGGTGAGAGCGATTCAGGAGATGTCTCCACCTCGGTGTGTTCGCGATGTACAAAGACTTACAGGACGGTTGGCAGTCTTGAACCGATTCTTGTCGCAATCCGCTTCTAAGGCGTTGCCTTTCTTCAAGGTCCTAAAGAAGGCCGACAATTTCTCCTGGACCGAAAAATGTCAACAAGCATTCGAGCAGCTAAAGGAATACCTTCACCACCTCCCAACGCTCACCTCACCTCAGTCGGGGGACTAGTTATTTTTGTACCTATCTGTTGCAGTCGAAGCTGTAAGCGCCGTACTAATCAGGGAGGAGGGTGTGCAAATTCTAGTTTATTATGTCAGTCGAATCCTCCGGGGCCCAGAGACCAAATACATTCAGGCGGAGAAGCTCGTGCTGGCCTTAATCCACGCAGCCCGTAGGCTTAATCCCTACTTCTTAGCTCACCACATCTGCTTGAGAACTGACCAACCCCTCCGGCAAATTTTATCACGACTGGAGGCTTCCGGACGCCTTACTAAATGGGCCATCGAATTGGGGGAGTACGACCTGTCTTATGAGCCTCGTACGGCAATCAAAGCTCAGGTCCTCGCGGACTTTCTAGCCGAGCTCACTTTTGATGAGGTAAATAAGTCTACCCCGGCCACCGCTGAGCCTCAGCAGTGGATTCTGCACGTGGACGGCTCGTCTAATAGTAAGGGTAGCGAGGTAGGCTTACTCCTCGAAGACCCCCAAGGAGAAGTATGCTCATATGCCTTAAGGTTTGATTTCGCCGCTTCTAATAATGAGGCCGAATATGAAGCAGTCATTGCCGGCTTGCAATTGGCTCGTAAGCTTGAGGCTGCACACATCTTGATTTATAGTGACTCTCAGCTCGTCGTGTGCCAAATACTGGGTGAATATGAGGCCATGGAAGGGGTGATGCATCGCTACCTCTCCAAGGTCCTCCAGCTGGTGACACACTTCGAGTCTTTTGAAATCCAAAGGATACCGCGGTCACAGAACAAGAGGGCTGATGCCCTCTCCCGGCTTGCCTCTACCTCCTTTTCTGATTTGAACAAGACGGTTTTTGTGAAAGTTTTAGTCGAGCCGAGATACATAGGGGAGGTCGTGTATCCCATCTATCCGGGGGACACCTGGATGGGGCCCTTGGTTCGATTTCTCAGCCAGGGGGAGCTCATCGAAGACCGAATTGAGTCGAGAAAGTTGCAACGTAAAGCAACTCGGTACGCTCTTCGACAAAATCTCTTATACAAGAGGTCGTACCTTGGCCCGTGGCTACGGTGCATTACGCCAAAAGAAGGCGAGAGGATCCTTCAAGACATACACGAGAGATTTTGTGGTGCTCACGTCGGCTATAGGATGTTGGTCAAAAAAGCTTTGTTGCTTAGGTATTTCTGGCCCACCATGAGGATAGATTCTCAGGTTATGGTCCTTAGTTGTCCTTCTTGCCAGCACCACGCCTCCGAGCACCACCAGCCGATCAATCTCATGATTCCCATCACCTTGCCCTGGCCGTTCGAGCAATGGGGGACGGATATAATCGGCCCATTCCCCAGGGTCCCAGGCAATTATGCCTATGTGGTGGTGGCGGTAGACTATTTCACCAAATGGGTCGAGGCGGAACCCCTGAGAAGTATCATTGAATCAGCGGTTCAAAAATTTTTCTGAAAGAGCGTGGTTTATCGCTTCGGCCTACCCCGGGTGGTCTTCTCGGATAACGGCAGGCAGTTTGCGAATAATCCTTTCAAAGCGTGGTGTGAAAATCTTGGAATCAAACAGCATTTCACTTCGGTTGGACACCCCTAGGCCAATGGACAGGCCAAAAATTTCAACCGCACTCTCCTTCATGGCCTTAAGACCAGGTTACATCGGGTTGGGTCATCTTGAATGGAAAAACTCCCCAACGTGTTGTGGTCCTACCGAACCACCCCGAGATCAGCAACCCAAGAGACCCCGTTTTCTCTGACTTATGGGTCGAAACTGTCGTCCCAACCGAATTCATTACCCCGAGTCCACGGATGGCAGCATATGCCGCTGAAGTTAATGAAGAGGAACGGCGAGTTGACCTCGATCTCGCCGAAGAGAAGCATGATATGACCGCGGCCAAAGTCGCTCTTTATAAAAATATTGTAACTGGCTATTACAATGTTCGGATCAAACACTTGCGATTCAATCCTGGAGACCTTGTGCTCCGGAAGAATTCGGTTAGCCGAGTTGAACCTCAGGGTAAACTAAACCCCAAGTGGGAGGGGTCATATCGTGTTGTCGAGTCCAGCCAAAATAGGTATTGTAAATTGGCATACCGAGATGGCTCTCCGGT